ATGGGGTTTTAAAGAAGTTAGATCGAGTGATGGGAAATTTTAAATTTTTTGAAGAATTTCCTAATGTGTTTGTAAATTTCCAGCCTTATAGGAATTCTGATCACAGTCCGATGGTGATTAAATTTCCTATAAAGAAGAAGTTTAGAATAAGACCTTTCAAGTTTGTTAATGCTATTGTGTTGAAAGATGATTTTCTCTCTACAGTTGCTAAAATATGGAATACGCCTATTGAAGGTTTTGATATGTTTCGATTGTGCCGGAAATTGAAAATGTTAAAAGGCCCTCTTAGAAAGTTGATGGCAAGTCAAGGAAATTACAGCGGGAAAGTTCAAAAATGCAGAGAAGAATTGGATAGAGTTCAATTGGAGCTTGATATGGATCCTTTTAATTGTGAGATCCAAAATGAAGAAGGTGGTTATTGCAAGCTTTTATCAAAGCCAGAGAAGAAGAAGAGAGTTATTTAAAGCAGAAAGCTAAAGTGCAGTGGCTAAAAGAAGGAGATAGTAATTCTTCTTATTTCCATAAAGTGGTAAAAGGAAAGATTAACAGGAATAGAATCGAAACTGTTATGGGTGGTGAAGGAAAATGGTGGGAAGGAGAAGAAGCTTGTAAAAAGATTGTTGACTATTTTCAGGATTTTCTTGGGGTTGAGCATAATGGTAACAAAATTTCAAGGCCTGAGAATCTCTTTGCTAACAAATTATCTCATTCTCAATCTTGGGATATGGTGAAAGAGATTACGTATGAAGAAATCAGAACTGCTTTGTTTGATATTGATGATGATAAATCTCCAGGACCTGATGGATTTTCTGCCAAATTTTTCAAAGCTGCCTGGGTGATTGTTGGAGAAGATTTTTGTTTGGCTATTAAGGAATTTTTCAGCAAATTGAAAATTCTTAAGGAAATCAATGCTACTGTCGTGGCCCTTGTTCCTAAAGTTCAGACACCAGGGAAAATTAGTGATTATAGACCAATTGCATGTTGCAATGTGATCTACAAATGCATAAGTAAAATAATTGTTAATCGTATAAGAGACTCTCTTGGATTTTTGGTGTCGGATAATCAATCTGCCTTCATACCTGGTAGATCTATCTTGGATAACATTCTCTTATCTCAAGAATTGGTTCGAGGCTACCACATTAAAAGAGGTTATGCTCGTTGTACATTAAAGGTAGATATACAAAAAGCTTATGACACGGTTAGCTGGAGTTTTTTGCAGTCCATCCTTGTTCATTTTGGGTTTCACAGGTCTATGATTTCTTGGATTATGAACTGTGTTACCACATCCTCTTTCATGATCAACATAAATGGAAATTTTCATGGCTTTTTTCAAGGAAAACGTGGTTTGAGGCAAGGCTGTCCGTTGTCGCCTTACTTGTTCACGTTGGTTATGGAAGTTTTTAATTTGATGATCAAAAGGAATATAAGGGAGAGTGAAGGATTCAAGTTCCATTGGAGATGTTGTGCCCAAAGTATCACACACCTCTGCTTTGCCGATGATTTGATGCTTTTTTGTCATGGTAATGTTAGATCGATCAAGATAATCAAGAATACTTTGGATGAGTTTGCGGGTGTTGCTGGGCTGTATCCGAATATGTCTAAGAGCCACATTTTTTTTGGGAATGTTAAAGAGCCTTTTAAGAAAGCCATTCTTGATATTCTGCCGTTTGTTGAAGGTAAATTTCCAATGAAATACCTTGGTATACCTCTTATTTGTACGAGACTATTTAAAAGAGATTGCAAAATACTGGTGGAAAAAGTGAAGATGAGAATTAATAATTGGAAAAATAAAAGTTTGTCGTATGCGGGAAGGCTTCAACTGATTAGATCAGTTATTTCCTCTCTCCCTGTTTATTGGGCTTCGGTTATGTTGCTGCCTAAGTCTATAACAAATGAGATTGAGAAAATCATGAGAAACTTTTTATGGAGCAGTGGGGATAACAGGAAAGGGATTGCTAAAGTTTCTTGGAGTGAGATCTGCAAACCGGAAAAATGTGGAGGCCTAGGTCTAAAAAAATATCAGTGAATGGAACACTGCTCTTCTATCTAGTCGGATATGGAAGATTATTAGTGGGTATGATTCCTTATGGGTGAAATGGGTGGATTCTTATTTGTTAAAAGGAAGAAGCTTTTGGGATGTTGGATTCAAGGACAAAATGAGCTGGAGTTGGAGAAAATTGTTGAAGATTAGACCTTATTTTCGAGATTTTTTTGTTGTTCATATTGGAAATGGTGAAAATACTTTCATGTGGTATGACAATTGGCATCAATTAGGTCCCTTGAGTTACGTTTTGACTCCTAGGGAAATAACTAATGCTGGTTATCATATTACGGATAAAGTCAGAGATGTGATTTCTAATGACGATTGGAATTGGCCGATTGATTGGATTAGATGTATACCACAGCTTGCAGAGTTTCCTATCCCTAGACTTTTAAGGGAAAAGAAGGATACTGTTTTTTGGCTAAATGAGAGAAGAGAACCTGTTCCTTTTGCAGTGAATCAAGTTTTCAAGACCCTTATTGTTCATGAGATGAAAGCTGGCTGGTATGATCTTGTGTGGTTTCATCAGAGAATTCCTAATCATTGTTTTATTCTTTGGCTGGCTATTCTTGGAAGACTTAGAACACAAGACAGAATGAAAAAGTGGAAATATAATTGTAATTTCAGATGTGCTTTCTGTAATGACCAAATTGATTCCCATTGTCATATCTTTTTTGAATGCAATATTCCCAAGGAAGTTTGGAGTAAGGTGAAGAGAAAGTTGAATATCACTCATATGGATGGTAACTGGTTCGAGATTGTTCAGGAACTTCAAGTTACCCTCAAAAAGAAGAATATTGAGAATTTTATAAAGAAGTGTGCTCTTGCAGCTACAGTTTATCATCTTTGGAATGAAAGAAATAAAAGATTATTTGGTAAAGAAACTAACTCTATTGATTCTATAGTTCTTAGAATCATGGATGACATTAGATTGAAGTTATTTGGTCTCAAATTTGGTTATCTGGGATTGAATGCTGAGATTTGTAAAAGATGGAATATTCCAATAAAAAATATCAATGGGAATGATCGGATTTAATAATTGGAAGAAGGCAAAAAGAAAGGGCTGGCAGGTTCACGTCCATGGGATCTGTATGGCGAGAATTAAGAAGGGTTTTAATAATAAAGTCTTAATGAGCAATCGGCATAAAGGGTTTTTATGGTGGTATTGGAAAATAAGAAAGCTGGAAGAGTTTAAAGAGAATTACATTTTAAAAAATTTTGATTTTTTAGTAATTCTTTTGGATTCTTGGTGGAAAAAGAATCTGAAGAATAAAAGCGGCTGGAAGAGGGTGCAGGATCAGGGCATGATAGAGATTTGTTTTGATCATGAAAGAGGAGTGGATTTTTTTATCTCAAGCCTATGTCCGCAGGTTTTTTGGTGGGATAAATATATGCGATTTGAAGAGTGTTATTATCGGGAAGGAAGAACTAATGAGCAGGGGTATATTGGGAAGTTATTAAAATTTGGTGTTCATTATTTTTGGTGGGAAATGGTTGCGAGATGGTATGGCCTCGTATATGACTGGAACTTTTTCATGATTGGGATATATTCTTATTTTTTTTAACTTTGGAGGCGGGGGCAGTTTTGTCAATTTTGTTTGATGATAAAGAATTACAAGATAATTGAAGTTGGGTGGATTATGTTGGCCTCGTATATGACTGGAACTTTGTTCAAATTGAAGTTTTGGCATTGGTATTTCATTATTTGGAGACAGGGGCATATTGGTCATAAGATGATTGGGTTATTCATTATTGGGTGTTCTAAAGGAATTGACGGTCATGGGATTTTTCACACTTTTTCCCTGAAAAGTGATTTGCACCTCGGTTTGATCCCGAGTTTCATAAGAATGTTTTCTTATGAAGTGGATTTCATGAATTTGCTGTTGGGTATAATTCCCATAAGTTGTGATTATTATCCTTGGTTTCAAGGGTTGAAAAATAAAGGAATTGACGGATGGTTTTTCAGTTTTCTCCTTAAAAAAACTGGTTTTCATGTGTTTAAGGGTTCAATTCCCGAAAATAGTCGGTTTAATCCTATTCATTTAGGATACTCCACATTTGTGGGTGCCACTACTGGTTCGATTAGTAAGTGGTGGGATATTCACCCGTTAATAACCAGGCTTGGGTACGTCATCCTTAGACTGTACCATTATATTTTTGGCATTTTTTGGTTAATAAAATGTCACTTTTTGTCCGGTTCAATCCCAGGATATTTAGTTGGTTGGTTTTTCTTCTTTTTCCATAAAAAGAATTTAAATCTTGGTTCAATTCCAAGTAGTTTAGTCAAGTGGTTTGCCCCTTTTTTCCAAAAAAGGATGATCTTTCCCGGTTCAAACCCGGAACATTTAGTCGTTTGGTTTTTCTTCTTTTTCCATAAAAAGAATCCAAATCTTGGTTCAACTCCAAGTAGTTTAGTCATGTGGTTGGCCCCTTTTTTCCAAAAAAGGATGACTTTATCCGGTTCAAATCCGAGAGTTATAGTTTGGTTTTCTAACTTTTTCCGTAAAAAGTTCAAAAATCTTGGTTCAATTCCAAGTATTATAGTTGGTGGGTTTTATGATTTTATCCGGAAAAAATCAAGAGATGAGATTTGCATTATAAGTTTTTGGATGATGATAATAGATGATGATACTTGGAATGTTTTTTTGGATATTCGATTTCGTCAAAGATGGTCATTTGAAGATGGCAAGGATATGAAGATTTTAAAGAAGATTGTTAATTTTGGGAGGGATAGTGATGTAGATATAAAATTAATTATTGATACTAGGATTTGGATCAAAAGCTTAAATTTTGGTTTTTTAAGAGTTTAGGAAGGATGAGAAATGACGTTTTTATTATATACATTGGTTTATTTTTGTTGGGATTTTCGGAGGATGGGGAAATTAGAATAAGATGTAAAAAGTGCATTGCTATTTTGGAGCATATTGTGTTTTGGAAGGTTTGTTACAAGAGATTGAAGATGCGGATAAGTGTTGAAGTTAAAAAAGATCTTTTGAGAGCTTGGATTGGGTTGAAGCTTGAGGATATTAAAATGGGAAGATTTATGAAGATTAGAAGTCAAAGATATTTGAAGATTAGTAGTCGAAATAGATACTTGGATCCTTGGAGAGGTGAAGATCATTCTGGCTTGTGGAGATGGAAGAAGATAAAGTGGTGTTTTTTTTATTTTATTGGTTTTAAACCTTGTATTTGGTTTTGGTATCTTTTTGATGTTTGGCTTTGGTTCACTTTTGGGGTTTGTCCAAAAGTGACTTAAACTCTTGTATTTTTCTTTTTATTTGTTATAAAATCTTTGCCGGGGCTTTGGCCTCTTTCCCAAAAAAAAAAAAAAAACCCTAAACCCTAAACCCTAATCCCTAAACCCTAAACCATAAACCCCAAACCCTCAACCCTAAACCCTAAACCCTAAACCCTAAACCCTCAACCGTAAACCCTTAACCCTAAACCCTAAACCCTTAAACCCTAAACCCCGGCGATTCGGCGATTCCCTCGTTTTTTCAACCGTTTTTCCGGCACCGATCATTACTCCTGCAACAGTTTTCACTGATTTTGATCTTAATTTGTTTGTCTTCTCCTGCTTGATCTGTGGATACTGTTTGATTGATTTTTATAGAGGGTGTTCCCCCTGATTTGGAACCCGACGTAATAATGAAAAAAAAGGAAAAAATGTGAATTCGAAGAACAAGCTCAAATCCGTTCTGGATGTTGATTCCAGTCAATTGAATGTTCCTTTGAAAGCTAAATCGGTCACTTCTCTCGTCAATAAGTTTGAATCTGAAGCTAATCCGATCGTCCCTAAAATCCCGTCTGAAGCTGGTAATTCCGAAAATTCTAAATTGGTTAGCATGGTTTTAGATTCTTCTCCTGTTGTGAAAAATGAAGTTATTCAATCTAATTGTTCGAATCTGAATACGCAAATTGCTCCTGATGTTGCTATTTTGATAAATTATGTTAGTCCCTGTTCCTTTAATACCGAGTGCACCTTCCCTTCTATAATTCTTCATGGCTCTGCTAATCCTATAAAAAAGGAGGAGGATTCAATTGATGGTTTAAGTCAACCTGTTATTGAATTTGAGAAGGATATTGCTCAATTTTGTGGCCCTGGAGAGAAAAATGCTATGATGGCTTTTTGGAATGGATCTGCTAGTGAAAAAGAAGGATTTGTTCATGGATTGAGGTTTACGAAGAAGAAATACAACAGTAGTATTGAAGCTGATGATGACATTGTGGATTCAATTGATGATGTAAAGAAGATCTCCCTGGTTAGTCAAAGAAATGAAGTGCTGTTGAATTGGAAAGATCTTACCAATAAGAAAAAAGAGAAAAAATTTCATAAACTTTGTACTAGCAAAGTTAAAAAGCAGGTTGAAGCTAATTTTGGGAAGAATCGTATTCCAATTAAACCATCTTCTTCACTATTTCCTTCCTCGGTTAGTATGAAGAAATCCTCTGATTTTGAAGCTTCTGATGGACTTCAAAAAGTTGGTGAAACTGTGAGTAATCTTTTGCCTGAAGGAGTTCCTAATTTGAATTTGAATGAGCCAGTGATTGTTGATCTTCAAAATATCTGCTCTTTGCAAACTATGGTCAAGGAAAAGAAAGAGAAAAGGAAAATTGAAATTGATGAAATGGTGAGTAGACAGCTGGAACAAGTATGCAATGAGATTATATATCACTTCCCCAGCAAGTTCAGTCATATTGATATTGTTAAAAAAGGTGATTTTAATTTCAATTATGTTGATCCGGATGATAAGGGTATTAATGTCCAAATGGTGGTTGATGAAGATGAGGAAAATAAAGGAACCATCCAGAATAGTAATGGTGGGCTACTTATTACTGAAAACATGCTGGAACAAATGAAGAATGGGGAGTTGAAGAGCAAGGTGAATTTGACTAATCCTAAAACTTCTTTGGAGGAATCGAAATTAAATGAACCTGTTTCGTATGCTGAGAAAGTAAGTGGAAAGAAGCTCAATGCTGCAAACCTTATTACCAAGGTTAAGAAGAATGCGGATTTACCTGATGGAGTGGTGGAAATGCCAATATGTGATATTCTTAAAGGATGCAGCCCTTTTAAGACCACTCTTTATGGATATTTCATTGACAAACATGTTAATTTCTTTAATGTTAACAAGTTTGCTCATAATATGTGGAAAAAATATGGATTAGAAGAGGTGATGGTAAATGATGAAGGGATTTATTTTTTCAGATTTAGTACTGAACAAGGAATGATTTCTGTTTTGGAGGGTGGAGTGTGGATGATTTTTTACAGCGCTCTTGTTGTTAGAAGATGGACTACTGGTGTGAGTTCGGCTAAAGATCAACATGATAAAGTTCCTGTTTGGGTAAAGATTTATAATGTCCCCCTTGAATATTGGAATGGAACAGGGCTGAGTCACATTGCTTGGGAGATTGGAAAACCTCTGGATGTTGATGCCCATACAGCGAAGATGTGTCAAGAGCATTGGGGAAGACCGGCCTTCATGAGAGTTTTAATTGAAATGTCTGCTGCTAAAGAATGGCTTAAGGAAGTCCATGTTTATTCTTCGGATCTTACTACTGGTGAAAGAATTCTGTCAAAGTGTAAAGTTGAGTATGCTTGGAACCCTTCCAAATGTTCTCATTGCAAGGTTATGGGCATAAAGATAGCAATTGTGGAATTCTTCTTGCTACGGAGGCCAGTGATTTAGTGAATTCTAAACCTGATGATCAAAAAAAGGATGGTATTAAAGTTGACCTGATGGAGGTTCTTATTGCGAGCACTAAAAAAGTTGAAGATGACAAGGATGGGTTTCAAACTGTGGTTAAAAGGAATAAGGGAATAAATATGGGTGAAAAAACTAAGGATGGATTAGGGAATAAAAATCAGAATTCTTTTCAAGGGCAAAATGGGAAAAACCAAGGAAATGGAAAGAATACGGCTGGAAATTCTGTTGGAAGTCAGGGGCAAAAAGGGAATAATTCAGTAAAAAATGGAAATACTTTCGGTGGTAATCAATGGAATAAGGGTAAAGGAGTCCAGGGGTATAATGGGAAAAATCAAGCTGCGAATGGAAGAACTAATGGCTTTAATTTCGAACAGGGGCAGAATAGTAAAAGCACTAATTTTTCGAACAAAATCAACAATTCAGGGAACGATAAAGGTGGGAATAATTTTCAGGGGACTCCTCATGCGGTTTCCTCTCATAAGGATCCTAATACGAATATTGAGGGGGGGAAAAACATTGGCAGTGGGCTGAAGTATGTTCCAAAGTCTGGAGCTGATTTTAAGATTAGTTCTAATTTTGATAAAATCCTAAATGTTGAGAAGCATCAAGATCCTGCGATTATTTTATCTAGCAATAAATTTGATGTTTTAAAGGATTTGGAAGATGATAATCAAATGGGTTTTTCCAGAAGGAGTATTCAAGGAATTGATCTTGATTATTTGGATACTATTGATCAAATGGAAGTTATAGGTGGTATCCCTTTGGATGATACCAACATGGAAGGCTTTTCCAATGACGCTTAGTTTTGGAATTTGGAATGTTAGGGGCCTTAATCAGTCCCCTAAGCAAAAAGAAATAAAAAAATTTAATTAAGGAAAAAAATTTGAGTTTATTAGCTATTCTTGAATCTCAAGTTAGTTCTAATAAACTTAATGAGAAGTGTGATAAGATTTCTGGGGATTGGAAGTGGATTGCTAATAAAGGAAATGTTGGTCATACTTTTCGCATTATTTTGGGCTGGAATCCTAATTTTTTTGATGTTAACTTGATTGATCACAATGATCAAGTTATTCATTGTAAAGTTAGTTTTCCCTCAAATAATAAGTATGTGTTATGTTCCATTGTTTATGCTGCCAACAAATATATTGAGAGAAGAGGTTTATGGTCTTCTCTTGTGCATCACAAAGGCTTTGTTCGTGATGATCCGTGGATTATTGGTGGGGATTTTAATGTCACGATTAATCCCAATGAAAGCTCTGCAGGCTCGTCCAAGTTTACCAAAGGGATGGTGGAGTTTCTTGAGTGCATTAATGTTCTTGAAATTCAAGATATTAATTGCAATGGTTTGAACTTCACTTGGAATCAAAAACCTCAAGGTAACAATGGTATTTTGAAGAAATTGGACCGTGTCATGGGCAATTCCAGCTTACTGGATCTCTTTCCTTCTATTTTTGCTTCTTTTCTCCCTTATGGGCTGTCCGATCATAGTCCTATTGTTATTAAAATTCCGTTAAAAGCTAAATTCAAGGTTCTCCCTTTCAAGTTTCCTAATGTTCTCAGTATTAAATCTGAATTGAAGATGTTGGTTGAAAATCATTGGAATATTGACATTCAAGGAATTAAGATGTTTGTTTTAATTCAAAAGCTCAAAAATCTCAAGAAGCCGATTCGAAAACTGTTAAAGAAACAGGGGCATTTTTTGGATAATGTTATTCATTTTCGTAAAGAATTGGAAATGGTCCAAGCTGATTTGGATGAGGATCCTTTTAATTCTGCTCTTCGCGATTTGGAAGCTATTTTCCTTGGTGAACTTAAAAAAACTTATGAAAAGGAGGAATGTTTCTTGAAACAAAAAGCTAAAATCCATTGGCTTAAAGATGGAGACAACAATTCCAAGTTTTTTCATAAAACTGTTAAAGGAAGAATCCATAAAAGCAGAATTGAGGCTATTATGAATAAACAGGGGGAATGGCTGGAAGGTGAAGATGTTTACAAAGAATTTGTGGAATACTTCAAGAATTTTTTAGGAACTGATGTTCCTTGTGGCGAGATTTTTCAGCCTAATTCTTTGTTTATTAAAAAATTAGATCTTATTGCTGCTGCTGAGATGACCAAGATTGTGACCAATGATGAAATCAAAGTTGCCCTCTTTGATATTGATGATGATAAATCTCCTGGACTAGATGGGTACTCGGCCAAAATTTTCAAGTCTATGTGGTCTGTCATTGGTGAGGATTTCTGCTCTGCTGTCAAAGAATTTTTCGCGAATGGAAAAATACTAAAAGAAGTCAATGCCACTGCAATTGCTTTAGTTCCAAAAGTTGATTTTCCTGGAAAAGTGAGTGACTTTAGACCTATTTCATGCTGCTATGTTATCTATAAATGTATTAGCAAGGTGATTGTTGCTAGAATTAGGAATCACTTGGGTTCTCTTGTTGCTGAAAACCAGTCAGCTTTTATCCCTGGAAGATCGATTACGGATAATATTCTTATTTCTCAAGAACTTGTCAGGGGATATCATAGAGATCGTGGTTTTTCTAGATGTGCTCTTAAGGTGGATATCCAAAAAGCTTATGATACAGTTAGCTGGTCATTCCTTCAAGATATTCTTTTTGTTTTTGGATTCCATCCTGCAATGATAAATTGGATCATGCAATGTGTGAGTTCTCCATCGTATATGATTAGTATGAATGGGTCTTATCATGGTTATTTTGAAGGGAAAAGGGGTCTTAGACAGGGTTGTCCCCTCTCTCCTTACCTCTTTACTTTGGTTATGGAGATCTTTAATTTGATAATTCAAAGAAGAATAAAAAATGAGCCGCTTTTCAAGTATCATTGGAGATGTAAGAAACTTAAGCTCACACATATTTGTTTTGCGGATGATTTGATGATCTTCTGTCATGGCAATTCTGCTTCTGTCAGGGTTATAAAAGAAAGTCTTGAAGAATTCGCTTGTGTGGCTGGCCTTCATCCAAATTTTTCTAAAAGCCACATTTTTTTTGGTAATGTTAAAGCTAATGTGAAGGGTAAAATTCTGGATACTCTTCCTTTTGTTGAAGGAAAATTGCCAATGAGATACTTGGGAATTCCTCTAATCTCAACTAGATTATTCATTCGTGATTGCAAAAGACTTGTTGATAAAGTTCGATGCAGATTAGGAGATTGGAGGAACAAATTCCTATCATATGCCGGAAGATTGCAACTCATTTCTTCAGTTCTTTTTTCCCTTCCTGTGTACTGGGCTTCTTGTCTCCTTATCCCAACTGTTATAACTAAGGAAATAGAGAAATTGATGAAGAATTTTCTTTGGGACTGTGATGAGTCCAAGAAGGGAAGGGCCAAAGTTGTTTGGTCCTCAATTTGTAAACCTTTGGAGCATGGAGGCTTGGGTCTGAGAAATCTAAGAGCTTGGAACAAAGCGATTCTGTCTAAGAGAATCTGGATGATCGTATCCAATTATGACTCTATTTGGGTAAAATGGATCAATACTTATGTTCTTAAAGGGGGATGCTTTTGGGATGTTCAGGAAAAGCAAGACCTGAGTTGGAGTTGGAGAAACTTGATTAGATTGAGACCTTACTTTAGAAATCATTTTTGTTCTAAGGTTGGGAATGGAGTAAATACTTTTATGTGGTATGATGATTGGCACTTTCTTGGAGCTCTTTCTTATGTCCTTTCCCCTAGAGAGATTGCCAGTGCGGGATTTAGAATAACAGACAAAGTGAAAGATGTTATTGTTGATAATTCCTGGTTTTGGCCTTCTGAATGGCTTTCGCTTATTCCTCAGTTGAATGATTATCAACTGACGATGCTTGATCCTATGGTTGCTGATAGAGTTCTATGGAGGAAAAGGAATAGTCAAGAGGTGGAGTTTGATATCCATCAAGTTTGGATAGATTTAAGCAACTGTGGTCAAAAGGTTCCGTGGGCCCATCTTGTTTGGTTTAAGCAATGCATTCCTAGACTCAGCTTCATTTTATGACTCAGGATAGAATGAGATTTTGGGACAAAAATAAGAATCTCAAGTGTTCTTTATGTAATATGCAGCTATATTCGCATAACCACTTGTTCTTTGAATGCACTTATTCTTCACTTGTCTGGAAAGTTGTGAAGGATAAAGTGGGGATTAGAAGTAATTCTCATGGATGGAAAGAGTTAGTTGAAGAATTTCAAGATTTGTTTAAAGGGAAAAGCATCCAAACTTTTATTATGAAGATTGCTTTTGCTGCTTCTGTTTATTACATTTGGAGAGAAAGAAATTGCAGACTCTTTAGAAAAGGAAAAACAGAGGAGATGAAAATTGCTTTGAACATTTTTGAAGAAACTCGCCTCAAGCTTATTGGTCTCAAAGGCGATTTTTTGGGGTTTGATAATGATGTTAAAAGGAAGTGGGGTGTTCCTGTGGGAAAGAAGAATAATGATTATTTTAATGATTAAAGGAATTGACGGGCTTGGGTTTGGCAATTTTCCTATAAAAATTGCTTTGCTTATCAGTTTGATCCCGATTTTTTTGAGGATTTTTCCTCTAGATGTGGGTTTTTTCATGCAAATGGGTTTTATCCCCATTATTAGTTGTTTTCCTCCTTGGCAACTTGGAGTCTCCACCTCGGTGGGTGCCACTGCTAGTTCGATTAGCAAGTGGTGGGATAATTACCCGTCAATACCAGGGATTGGGTACGTTTTCCTTAAACTGTACCACAATTGGGTTGGTTGTTTCCTTTGTAATTATAAAAACAACCACTTTTTGCCGTTTTGGGATGATTGTTGGGTTATTGCCATCCGGTTTATCCCGGATTTCATTGGAATCTTTTCCTTTGAAGTGGATATTTTGTTGATGCAAATGGGTTTGATCCCCATTAGTTGGATTTTTCTTCCTAGGCAACTAGGAATCTCCACTTTGGTGGGTGTCACTGCTAGTTCGATTAGCAAGTGGTGGGATAATCACCCGTTAATACCAGGGATTGGGTACGTTTTCCCTAAACTGTACCACATTCAGGTTGGTTGTTTCCTTTGTCTCCATCAAAACAACCACTTTTGGATCCTTAGGGATTCTTTTTTTGATATATGCTTGCTGGTTTATCCCAGAATTCATTGGAATTTTTCCTTTGAAGTGGTCATCTTTTTAAAGCAAATGGGTTTGATCCCCATTAGTTGGAATTCTTTTCCTAGGCAACTAGGAACCTCCACTTTAGTGGGTGCCACTGCTAGTTCGATTAGCAAGTGGTGGGATAATTACCCGTTAATACACTGGATTGGGTACGTTAACCTTAGACTGTACCACATTTGGGTTGGTTGTTTCCCTTGTTTACATAAAAACAACCACTTTTGGATCTACTTTTCTTTTTGGTTTTACCAAAAATTTAATGCCAACCGGTTCATCCCGATTATCATTGGTATTTTTACCTTTGATGTGGAATTTGAAGGTTTAATCCTTAATTTTTTAGGGATTAACCTTCAGGGGTATTTTTGGAATATACCCATTATAAAAGGAATTGACGGATTTCATAATTTTGGGTTGATTATTAAGAAGAATGTTGATGGAGTGGAAGTTTTTAGCCTTGAGGATTGTGGTATATTTGCTTTTATGAGCTCTTTATTTGTTAGAGGATGGATTTATCTTCAAGGGCATTTTCGGAATACTTGGACTAATCATTTGAAAGATTTTTTGAAGACTAATTGGATTAGTTTGGGCAAGGAAGAAGTTGGAGAAAAATTGAAGACCTTTTGGAAAAGGTGGGAATTGATTGGACATTTCGGTTTTAACATTATACTTTCATAGATTTTGAAGACTCTCAAGAATTTTGTGATGGATAATGGGCTTATTTTTTGGAACTTATGGGAAATTCAAGTGAAGATTGGAAAGAAGTTTAATAATTGTATTTTGGAGAAGATTGGGAAGAATTGCATGAAGAGTAAAGCTCAAAGATCTAAGTTGATTGCTATTCTTGGATTTAGTCCGGGTTGGAGAACTTTGAAAGTTATTGATGATTTAATTGATTTGGCAAATGATTCTCTTGGTTTGGAAGTTCCTTGGATGTATTGTAAGATTGGCATTTTTCAAACCATGGATTATTTATTTGAGTATGAGGCCATTTTTTGGAGTATGGCTTGGTGGAGGATTAAAAGCTACATGAAGATTGAAGATATTGAAGATTTTGTGAGATGGAAGTTTTTTGGGTTTGATTGCATTGTTTATTTCTTTGGTAGTTATGTTTGGTTTCACTCCTTGCTTTGGAGTTGGACCTGGAAATGGATTGGTTGGTTTTTGTTAGTTAAGTTTTGTTGTTTTCTTAAAAATTAGTTTTTAGGTTAGTTGGTAGTTGTTTGTTAGGTTTTTGTAGCTAGTTTTTTTGGCTGGTTGCCCTCTTCCCTTTGTAATGTTTTTTCTTTTCAATAAAATTTGCCAAGGGTTTCCCCTTTTATCCAAAAAAAAAAAAAAAAAAAAAAAACCTTAAACTCTAAACCTAAACCCCAAACCCCAAACCCTAAACGCTAAACCCTAAACCCACCCTAAACCCTAAACCCCATGAGTACTTTCTCTCTCTAGAATTTGTCTCTAGGAAATTCCTTTGGAGATTAAGTGTTCTTGTTCTTCTTGTGGGTTTCAGGCTTAATTTCCTATAATCTGTTGGTTTTTGTTTGTCAATTTGTTAAGTTGTTGTGATATTATGGGGAAAATTCATAGGGTACGTAGATCCTCAAGGAAAAAATCAAAATATCATGATGAAGAGGTTGTTGTTCTTCGTTCTTTCCACTTTGAAGACAGCCCCCACAAGGATGAAAATGCTCCTGGGTCAAGTAATGCTCATGGAGGTTCTAAGTTTGTTGAAAGCTCTTCATCTTCCACTGCCTTTTGTGTTAGCAACCACAGCAACAAAGGTATCTTCTTCTCCAACTCTCCCCTCCATGTGTCGAATGAAGCTCCCTGTGAACCCTCGGTTGGAAAAGTTGGCTGTTGTGCTCGTGATTATGAGGCAACATCAAGTCCTGGTCACGTAAATGGTGAAGAAAGGGTATCTGAAAATCTTTTTGATGAACCCTTTATTGCCCCCCATAAAGCTTCCGAATCAGAAGTTGAATCCCATGCAAATATTAAAGCTTTTAAAGAAGTCGCTAAAATAGATGGTGTCATTCATAAGATTCATGAAAGAACAGATCGTGATATTGGGGATAAAGCAGCTCCTATGTATGCGGTTGGTGAAGAAAGGGTCTTTAAAAATCAATTACAAGGTTCTCTTTACTCCCCCTATGAAGCTCTCGATCCACAAATTGAAACCCACACAAATGGCGAAGCTTCTAAAGAAGCCTCTAAAATTGATGGAGTGGTTGAGGATTGTTCCGATTCCGATTCTGAGGTTTTGGTACGTGATTTTCCCTCTGCCGGAATCCTTTCTCCAGTCGTTACATCCCTAACTCCTCCCTCCGGCTCTGCGTCTGAAGCTCATGTGTCGCTCCCTCCCTTGGTGACGGAAAAAACTAGCACGTTGGAATCTTCTTGCGACGGTGATGGCCGTCGGCCTCCTCCTGGTCGCCGTTCAATTTCTCCGACTGGGATGCATCCTAATTATGGAAAAGATTCCCCTGCTAATATTAATTTGGAGTCTGCGTCTTCTTCATCTGTCTTTGGGATGGGAGTACAATCGAATTTGGAAAGTCAACTCATCATCGATAAAGTAGCCGACCCCCAAGACTGTTTGTAAGCCGATTTAATTCTGGCTACGTCATCTGATCGGGAAGGGTCCCCATTGCGCATTAATGACCTCCCAAAAGTAGGAGTCTCAGCATTAAATGCCCCTATCTCCTCTCCTTTGGCTGTCACACGCCCTTTACTCCCCTCCAGCTCTAATTTGGCCACCAATATTATTAAAGACCCACTTCCACTTTCGTTTGGGCCCAATAGCCCACGCTTACCTCACCAACCTTTATCCTTTGCTCAAGTTTTATTGCTTGAGTCCAGCCCAACTTCAAATGGTCCTTCTTCGCCTCATCTTGGGCCTAATGTCACTAGCCCAAATCGTTTGGATGATGATGTTTTAATTATTCCGCCGGAAATCATTTCTAAGGGAAGCATTCCATTTGAATCGTACGTTATATGGTTATTTCGTGGGTAAAAGACTTGCCTTCCCGCTTGTTAAAGATCGTATTCAAGATCTATGGAAAGAACATGGGATATGACGATATGTGATATTTTTATTAATAACGATGACATGTTCTTTTTTAAATTTGATAATGACAATGGTATGAACTACGTCCTTCAAAAAGGAATTTGGAAGATTAATGGAATTCCTCTTTTCTTAAGGAAATGGGACCCCGAAGTTTTCATTGAAAAACCAACTCATGATCGGGTTCCCGTTTGGGTTAATATTTTTGGCATCCCTCTCCAACTTTTTAATAAAGATGGTTTAAGCCTTATTGCTAGCAAACTAGGAAAACCTTTGGAGGTGGATTCGTACACTACCACAATGTGTGAGAAGGCTACGGGTAGAGCGGTTTATGCTCGTATTTTAATTGAGATGTCGGCTAAAGATCCTTGGGCAAAAGATATAAAAATAAAAGCGTTCACGGCTAAAGGAGCCACATCCACAACCCTTAGAGTTGAGTACTCTTGGAATCCGATGAGATGCGACCACTGCAAATTTTTTGGTCATGGCCTTGCCACGTGCCCAATTCACACAACTAGCACTCCAACCCCAAAGCCGATAATGCCCACGCTAAAAGAGGTTGATAATGATGGATTCCAAACGGTCAAGAGGACAACTAGATCAGCTCCAATCCCAAAAAAGAAGATCCCCATTGACAACCGTAAAGGAAAAGGCCCTACTATAAATATCTCTCAAGTTTACAAACCAGTTTCCCGTGTAGAGCCAAAGAAAAAAAGTCTCCACTAACATGTTTGATGCTCTTTCCCATAAAAGAGTGGATGATATTGATGATGATTCTCGTGTCCCTCCTGTTCTTCATTCGAGTACTTCACACCCAGCTTCTGACGCAATGCCGAGCTCTTCTCATGGTGGTTGTATCTCTTCTCCAATTGATCAAGGATGACGATTTTAGGTCTTTATTTAGTTAATCTATAGTTACTTGTTTGTTTCGTCCATGCTTCGGGGCATGTCCCTTAGCTTGGCTAGTCTTTTTTTCTTTTTCTTGGGCATTTGCCCTTTTCTTTTGTATCTCTTCCTATTCTTAATATATTTTGCCAAGGGGATTCCCCTTTTTCCAAAAAAAAAAAAAAAACCCTAAACCCTAAACCCTAAACCCTAAACCCTCAACCCTAAACCCTAACCCCTAAACCCCTAAACCCTAAAACCCTAAACCCTAAACCCTAAACCCTAAACCCTAAACCCTTCTGTCAGAGATGCAGCTCACAAACACGTGGGCTAAAAATCTCCAATAAGGCGGCAAAAGCTTTTTCACTATAGGAGGAGAATCACCTTCATACCCCATCTTCTTTAAAATCTTCTGAGTGTCTTCAATACCAATTTCAGTGGGAAAGCTCAGTAGATCATTGATCAATAATTTCTCTCTTACGAACTGCTCATCGATTACAATTTTGCATCCTTTTACGATTGCATCTACTGTCACTGCTCCATTATCGTCTCTTCTCATTTTGGCAGTCTGCCCAAACTCTCTGATAATCTTCTGATAAACGATGACTTCAATTCTCCACGTGCCACCAGAGGATCTGCTAGTACCATTGCCAGATTGTGCATATCTGCGAACTTTAAAGCTGCCATTTGATATGCACTAAATCATACTAAGTGAGAAACGAAAGTCATTTGAGCAATGAATATATATATATATATATATATATATATATATATATATATATATATTAAAAAAATTTTATTAAATCAATTTCAAATTTAACCCAAAATAATAAATTAGTTTGACTAAAATCAAGTTTACAGTCATCACGGAGTTTACGGTCAAACTGGAGTTTGCGACCGTAAACTCATGACCGTAAGCTACCAGCAGTAAACTGAGTTTACGGCCGTAAACTCTTGACCGTAAGCTTGGGTCGTAAACTCCGACAGATAGTTTTTCGTCGATTTTGGCCTGAAAACTCATCGATTTCAAGATGCAACTGCATATCCTTGGTCGGAATCCTCTTACCTACGAGATGAACAGAGCAATTTCACGAAAACAAACAAATTTTTTCCAAGTTAAGAGAGAGTGGGAGGAGTTTGCAGCCGGAATAAAAAAAGTGAGGGGTTTCCGGTTGTAAACTCCCTTAAATACCTTTGACCTTTTACCTGCTGTCCACACTGTGTAAGGTACAATCCAATATTTTTGAAAATTTTCAAAAACAATACTTTCAGGATTTAAAAATTAAATTAAGACTAAAAACAAAACAAAATAAAATAAATTAATAAAAATAAAATAAAAATTAAAGACAGAAATAAAAAAAAAATTTAACTTAACAAATAAAAATAAAATTAAACATTTCTAAAATTTTGACATACACAAAAATAGAATTAATGATAAAATAAAATTAAAATTAAAATTAAAACAAAACAAAATAATTTCCAAAAATTAAAATTTTAAATATTGATAATTACAAAATAAAATAAAATAAAATAAAATAAAACAAAACAAAAACAAAATTTAAGACAAAATAGACTAAACTTTATCTAAACGAACACTGAATATAATTTTTGTGACTTAGGGATCAAAGTTGTTAGACAACCTTAGTCTACTTATCGGTAACTTTATCTTCATGTCTATGTCTGATCGATCGTCGGTATTGTGGTCCACTTAAACATGAAAAAATTGTGACAATTTTGAACAGACTAAAGACGATAAGACATTTTGATCCTATATTCTTAGATATATTTCCTAGGGATCATTTAGGTGACGACGACCAGGGATATTGTTGTCCACCTAAATTGAGCAGCGAGATCTACAGACAATCTGTATGTGTTCAATTTTAATTGTACTAAAACATGTTTCATGCTTCCTGATATGCTCCAGTAATCAAGAATTTTCATAATACTCCTTACACTGGGTGAGCAGACAATTATTAAGAAAGAAGATAGATTTAGAATGCATATGCTATACACCCAAATCGAATCTCTTCCAATCACGCAGAGGATGAAACATATGACTAACTGAATTTTAGAGGGATTGAGAAAAAGAATGACACATATACTGTGTACCAGGTCGGATTGTGAGTCACGCAGAGGAGACAGTATATGACTAACAGATAGAAATAATTGCATAGAAAGAAGATGCAGAGAGATAGAATTGTATATGTTACAGTCCAGGTCAGATCTCTCGATCACGTAGAGGAGGCAACATATGGCTAACAGACAGAAAGAAAGAAAATAACCTTCTACATACCTAATTTATCGGAATTCCCAGTCACCCTATCAATAAGGACAAAATCCGCACATCGAGGAAAAGTTAATCCACGGTTCTAGATACGGGTTCTTTTAGTGTGACCAATAAATTCTCATGTATATCTCCTTGCTCAACCTATCCGAACGTCGTGTTATCAGGCTAAACAGATCTAAATAGTTCAATATTTGTCAAGTCCTTGAATTCCATATGTTCAAATCTTCCTAGTCAAGTCCATTTAGAATATATTTTTTGTGTCTACCAATGCATCGAGCACATAGCGTAGATAATTTAACTTTGGTACGTTACGAAGATTCAGATTGTCCGTTATCAATTGATAATATCACTTCCCAACACATCACCTACAAACAAGATTATCAGTAACATCTTTTTGATTTTTTGATTTTTATTGTTTTTGGATTTTTGAATTTTGAATTTTTGTTTGATTTTTGTTTGGTTTTTGTTTATTTCTCCCCCTAAATTTGTGCATGGGTGAGAATGAAATCACTAAAATGCGCAAATTTAAACTAATCTAACAAAAAAAAAAAGAAGATAAGAATTAAAGAAATAAAAATAAAAAAACTTAAACTAAGTAAAAAGGTAAAAAAAAATTAAATTAATCATCAAAACGAATCATTTTCAAAAATCTCACAAGCACATCGAATCGAGCTTTCTTAAAAGGCTTGGTGAACAGATCCGCCACTTTATTAGTAGTGGGAACTTGTTCCAGCTGGATAAGTGAATTTTCATAACAGTCTCTGATAAAATGAATTTTGATATCAATTTGTTTAGTTTTTGAATGTTGGACAAGATTTTTAGCAATTTGAATCGCAGCCTCATTATCACAGTAGATTGGGGTTTCTAGATAATTCAAACCGTAATCCAACAGCTGATGTTGGATTCATATGACTTGGGAGCAACAGGCAGATGTAGTAACGTATTCCGCTTCAGCTGTTGAAGTTGAGATAGTGTGTTGCTTCTTGCACTGCCATGACACCAACCGATCTCCAAGATATTGACACTCTCCTAAAGTAGATTTCCTGTCAAACTCACAGCCTTCATAATTACTGTCAGCAAAAACATATAAATCAAATTCAGAATTTTTCGGATACCAAAGACCCAATTTTGGGCTGCCTTTAATATACCGAAAAAAACTTTTGAGAGCAATAAGATGTGAAAGTTTAGGATTATGTAACGCCCACGTTTCTCGCTAAACATATCCTATAAAAATATGTATTTACGTCGGTCAACAAATGTAAGCTTCTTGTGAATAAATAAAATAAAAATCATTCAAACATAATACGTGTGTATATAAATGTGATTTATTTTTAAATTATGTGTATATTTGTGTAAAAGCTCATTTTTAAAAAAAATTATTAAATAGGGCTAAATAAAAGTTTAAAAATAAAAGATCATTTAGAATACTAATCTAAATGAAAACGGTAGAGACCGTAACTATTAGCTCGTCGATATAAAGAACAAAAATAAATATATATTATATATATTTTCGAGATATAACTCCCGAAAATAATTGTGTACATATATTTTACGACCTTAATCATATGTTGGATTCATATATTATATCAATTTGGTAAGTGATAGTTCATAATTATTAAAACTATATGTATTGTATATATATTATATCAATTTGGTAAGTGATAGTTCATAATTATTAAAACTATATGTATTGTATATACATAAGTTAATTGATTATGGTTTTGTTTTAAGAAAAGAGACGTAAATATGTATATATAATGTTATATTAACTTGAGTAGAGTTATTGGTTATATATGTTATGAGTTATGATATACACTCCCAAAGTCAATCATATTATGGCAAATAGAACATAAATACGTGTACATATTAATAAAATAATAATAATAATAAGAGGATAATAATGAGGGATGCATTGCTTAATGTCCAAGATAAAATGAATAGTCATCTTCATACGTGTTATTCAAATTGAGATATGCGTACATGTTAATAATGTGTGAATGACTAAGCCTCCGTAATTGTAGTATAACTAGAGTGACTTCTCTATTTTGAAACATACAATTAACAAAATCTATAAAAGGGACAATTTTACATCAAAGAATCGTATTGGAAATTATTGGGATATACGGTTGTTATATTAGGTGAGTGTATAGTCACTTTTATCTTACACATAAATATGAAGTATTTTATATAAAATACGTGCTATGTGGATATATATTGTTTGTTTATTTGAGATGGATGTTGAATGAATAATTTTATACACGTTTAGAATGATTCAAACTGTATATGTATTTTTATCTACAAATATGTTGGGTAAAACATGGGTAGATGAAATAGTTGGTGTGTGTTAAAATGATGAGAGGACTCGATGTTGTTGTTGTTCCAGTCATCTAGCGGAGTATGGATGACGACCACGGACTCTTCTAGACAGTCTAGTGGAACGCTAGCAGGCTCGCAACCTGTAGGTGTTTGTGGGCTTGATGTTCACTGGTGTACTCCATCCCCGTCATGGTTGCCTTACGGATATATATGGTTGAGGAATCCCCTTAGCAGTAAA